CCCCCCCTCCGCGCCCAATGCGACAGAGCGAGGGCAAGAGGGGAAAAAGCCCCCGACAAAAGGCTGGAGCATACGGCATCCAATTAACCATGCGACCCACCCCCCTGGCGCCCGCTCCTCCCTTGCAATTGCAGCGGCCCGCATCGTCACCGCACGTGTCCCCATCGCCACCGAGCATGGCCACCCAGACCGTTGCCACTCCCACAAGCCCCCTGCCCGACTTGATTGTGGACACTTCCTTTGTCAGTGGTGGCGGCCCGGTGACCCCAAGCGGCCATCGGCACGGCGTGGGTTCCCCTCGCCCGGAAGATCGATTCCCCCAATCCATGTTGTCCTCTCCCTCCATGCCGTCCCCTTTCACGGCCCAGACTTCGCCTCTCAGGTACTTCACATATGCCCCCCCCCCCCCCTCCCTCCGTCGCATCTTGGGGGCACCCACGATCGCGTGCTGCCTCCCCCTCTCTCCTCCATCGCCCTTAGTCGAGTGCTCTGTCCCTCCCCCACGCCCTGGGCATATTTGGCGTACATGTGGCCCTCCCCCACACACGATTCAACATTCCCGTGATCACGCTCGAAGTCCACTCTGGTCAACGAGTCTGCTCGGCATGCTGATCGAGGCCGATCGGGCGCACAGTTGGCCCTCTGCCACTCTGGGCCCCAGCCCCGGGTGGTCCTTTTGATCCACACTCGATCTGTCGCCCCCCCCCCCCCCCCCCCCCCCTCCTCCTCCTCTCGATCCTCCGTCGACGGCCCCGGTTTTGCACTTGGGCGCCCCCCCTATTCTCCATCCTCCCATCCTCCCCCCCCCCCCCCCTTGTGGCGGCCGTGCATATTCACGATAGCCGAGAGAAAGAGAGAAAGCGGGATGGTCAGCATGCCCGAAAGCCTGTCGTCTCCCCTGTCCCCGGAAGCCCAAGCCCCCGTGCCTCGGATCCCGAAGGGGGAGTCCTCGCTGACACGCATCCGGAATCGGTCCCTCTCGATTCTATTCCCGGAGCTGGTCGCGTCGGCGCCCCCGGAGCAGCAGCCAGCCCCCCCAGGGGTCGCTCGGAGCCGGAGCTCCGGCAGTCGGCACGCTGACCGGCGCCTTGGCCCTGGGCCCGGGCACTTCGCCTCGTCCAGTGACGGGCGAGTGATGTCGGCATTCGATCCGCCACCGCTCTGGCACCGCCGGCATCTTCTGCCGCCGGCCCAGGGGGGTGGCCCCGGCATCGAGGAGGACACCACTCCGACCCTGGTGGTCCATGACGTGGATGATCCCTCGCCGGCGACCCCGCTGCCGCCACTGCTCCCGGTGGCCAGCGACACTTGGTCGCCCCCCAGGCCGGCGGCCGGCAGCCGGTCTTCGCTGTTCCATACCTCTCCGCCCTCCTCTGCGGGGAATCCCGCCCGCAACGGGCTTCTTTGGCCCGGGGCGGATCGTCCCTCGGCTGCGCCCACCCCCTCCCCGCGCCCCGTCACCCCGGAGATCTCTCCTGACCAGGCGTCGCACCGGCCACATGGTGATGGCCCCCACCAGCACCGCCGGCGGAGCAGTGGCGGCAAGGCCAGCCAGCCCCTCCCTCCTCCCCTTTCCTCCGCCTCCTCGCCCCTTCCCTCCCCCTCCCGCTCCTCCTCCTGTGCACACTGTCTGCAGCACTTCGCCCTTTGCGAGTGTGCCGTCGCGTTCGTCCCCTCTTCTCCTCTCTTTCCCCCCTCCCCCCTGCCGGCCGTGTCCACCCGCCTAACTCTCCCCCCTCCTCCTCCTCCGGCCGCCAAATGCAGCACCTCGTCGCCGAATGCCAGTCTCGTGTACCTGGCGTCCGATTTGGACCCCGAGCAGGTGGTCGCCCTCCGGCAATGGGCCCATTCGAAGCTGCTGGCCCTGACCGGTGTCGACCTGTCATTCGAGTGTGACCGGTCCGCACGCTCGACCGGCAACGGCCAAGCTGCGGCCGGCACCAAGCAGCGCTTCACCACCAACCTCAAACGTTTCTTCCGGTCGCGCAAGAGCCAAGACGCCCAGTCGCCGCTCCCGGGCGGAGTGGCCACCGGCGGCGGTGCTGGTCACCCTTCGGCCGGCCAGCCGACCGGGTATCCCCCCCTGCCGGCCGGTGCCGGCGGGCACCTGGCCACCCCGGGCACCCCGACCGGCACGCCGGAACGCCGCGGCCTCACTCGGGGATCTTCCCAATCCTCGGCCGCGGTGGATCGCCTCTCTTCGGACCACACGTCCTATGGCGCTGGGCCGGATGGCAGCGGCCCGGCCGGGCGGCCGTCCATGGATGGCGATGAGCGGTTCTTTTCGACGTCGGTGGCGCGGGCCACGGCCCTTTGGGGGGTGTCCTTCTCCCCGCGGCGGCTGTTCATCCCGCATCCCATCCGGTCGCTCTTTACCTTCCTCTATCGCAATGATCGCATCGGCCAGGATGGCCTGTTCCGGATCAATGGCAGCCAGCGCCGCATCCAGGACCTGAAGCGCATCCTGGACGAGAACCCGATGGCCGACCTGTCCACCATCCGCCTGCCGAATGGCTGCCTCTCGGCCAATGATGTGGCCTCCTTGATTAAGTCCTACTTCAGTAGCCAGGCCGAGCCGCTGCTGACCAACCAGTTTGAGCGCATTTGCGAGTTCATCGCCGCCGAGGACAGCCACTCCCCGCGCGCCCTGCAAGCCATGCAGTATGTGTTCATGACCCTGCCGGCGGCAAGCCGGGATCTCTTTGAGGCCCTGCTGCGACTGCTGCACACGGTGGCCTCGGCCGATGGCATGATGAATGCCTCGAACCTGGCGCTGGTCTTTGCCCCGTGCTTCCTGTCGGCGGCGTCGGCCATGGATTTGCATGTCCATCGGATTGTGGTGGAGACCACCACGGCCATGATTTCCCGCACGGAAGAGGTGTGCACCATCCTTCCCTGGGTGCTGGACCAGGCGCCGGATTTGGTGCCCAGCCAGCTGGGCGAGGCCCTTGACGAGGGCGCCTCGGCCTCCGGCGGGGGGGTTGGTGGCGGCGGTCCCGCCGGGTCAGGCAGCAGCCGCACCCCGTCCATCTCCATCCCGAGCCCGGCGTCGTTGTTGCTTTCGTCCTCCTCCTTCAGCCAGCTTCGCCGGTCGGTGTCCCAGCGGACAACCAGTAGCACCTCCACCACGGACTTGTCCGGGAATGCACGCCACCAGCGCATCAGCTCCGGCGGCAGTGGTCATTTGACGGCTCGGTCATCGCCGCACCCCTCGGCCCCGTCCTCGCCGCAGCCGATCTTGCGCGCTTCGTCGGTCTCCTCCGCCGGTTCCAGTACCCTTCTCCACCGGGGGAGCAGCGCCAGTGGGGCCGGTGGCCGGGGCTCGTCGTCGTCCGGCACATCGGCCGCCCGTGGCGGTGGCACCGGCTCGGCCTCGGCCTCATCCAGCTCCATCCACCAGGATGTCGGGTCCTTCGGTGGCCCCATGCGTATGTCCTCCTCTGGGTCGACCTCCTCCGCCGCTGGCCGGGGAGGAGGGAGCAGCGCCTCCCATTACCAGCCGCAGCATCATCTGCAATCTTGCTCGCGGGTGTCCAGCTCCGAGCACATTACCGTCTCCGGTGGCTCCTCTCACATCTCTCCCTCGCCCCCTGGCAGTGGCTCGCCGAACTTGACGCCCGACCATCAGGGTGTCGGGGGGGCCCGACTCCTGTCGGCTGGTGGCGGCAGCGGCGTCGGTGGCGGCAGCCAGTCGCTCTCACGCAGTGTCAGTGCCCACACCCCGACCAGCTCGCCGATGGCCGGCACCAAGCGCACCGCCAGCACCGGGGTCATCTTTGCCAATGACCCCTCGGCCTTGTCGGCGGCCGTCGGCGGGGGGCAGCAGTCTCCCCGCCGAGCGGGGACGGCCATCGGTGCCTCGGTCTCGGCGAGCGCCCTGCACCCTGGCGGCTCGGAGGCCGGTGGCAGCGGTGTCGAAGAGGACACCCTCGGATCGTCCAGGACCAGCTCCATGGCCACTGGCCCGTGCGGCGGCGGCGGCGGCGGAGCCATCCTGCCCTCGTACTCCAGCAACGATGTCAACATGGAGATGGGTGGCGGCCACAACAGCAGCACCGATGGTGGTGATGGTGGTGGGGACTCCTCCTCCTCCTCCTCCAGCGGTGTCAGCGATGACAGTGGCGACAGCGGCCCGGATGTTTCGTCGTCCTCTTCGTCGGACTCCGAGTCGGAGGATGCCCTGGTGGCCACGGCGCCGGCGTCCATCTCCGCCGGGGCGGGGGCCGGCTCGCACGGTGTCGATGCGGCTCTTGCCTCGTCGGCGGCGGCGGCGGCAGCCGGCGGTGGCCAGCATGGCGATGCGTCGGAGCCCTGCTCCCCGCGGTCGGGTCTGGCCCCGGTGGCTGTCGAGGACCAGGCTCCCGCTTCGCCGGTCGGCAGCGGCAAGCCACTGCCGGCCTGCTCGACCCCGGCGCCACTGATTTTGCCCTCCGGCGATCCGGTCAATTCCCCGCCGCCGGTGTCCTCCTCGGCCATGCCGGGGCTGGTGTATTCGATTTCGCGGTCATCGCGCCTGCGCGCGGCGGCGAATGCGGCGGCGGCGAATGCGGCTGCCTCGGCGGCTGGCAGTGGCCCCGTGTCTCCGGAGTTTGCCCCCTCCACCCCGCTGCCGACCATCGAGTCTGGCGTGGACAACATGCCGCTGGTTCCGGTGAGCCAGCGGCGAGGTGTCTCGCAGCATCGGACGTCGGCCGATGTGACCCCCCTGCCGGCGCGCCTGCCGTAGTAGGGGGACCGGCGGGGACATGCTGAGCCACAAGTGCGTGCGTGCGTGCGTGCGTGTGCGCTCGCTCGCCAAGGCGGCGGCCGTGTATTATGACAGCGGCGGTGTGGCGGCGCGAGAGGAGAGAGAGCGACAAAGAGAGCCTCAGTTCGCGCTCCCTGCTTTCCGGCGTGCCCCCC